CCTAATGAGCAACGTTGCAAATTAACCATGGAACCGATTGAGCTATTTTTTGGATTATCCGCACATCGGGGTGCGTTAACTTCGAGCGATGTAAATTGCTCAGAAATTCACGTATCCCGATGTGTTGCTAATTTAAGGGGGGATAACCTCCGAATCGCAGGGAAATACATGAAAAAAGGATGCTCGAGGTTTATATGCGGGAAAACAAAATCAAAATCAATCGGCACATTCATTGTAACTCGTGACTTCATTCACACAAAGCAATGATTCTCAACAGTACTCAGACATGTTCTCTGATGATCACGCCCGGACCAGATTCTTCCTACTACGTAAAATTGCAAATTGACCATGCATCCTACTGAGCTGTCTTTCCTTTCTTTTGGATTCTCCGCTGATTGGGGTGTGTCAATTTTGAGCGAAACAGATTGCTCAGAAATTCACGAATACCGATGCGCTGCTAATTTCAGGGAGGGAAAAAACAATAGTTACCAAACTATAGGAAAAGCGGGAAAAAAGGGGGGGTTGCCAGAGACATGCATGCGGAATTACGAATGTCGCTTCAAACAAAAACAAAAACAAAAACAAACTCAATCGGCACATTTACTGCAATACGTGACTTCATCAAAGCAATGTTTCTCGTCACTTTCCTTAATCTTCGATCGATCCACTTCTTGTAGAGAAATTACCACGACTGCCACCACCCGCAAGGATGAGAGGGGGATTGCTTTTACGGGGAGAGAAAGGGGAGACAAAGGGGGTGCTTAGAACGGGGGAAGAGAGGGGAGGAGAAAAGACTTATCCCGTATCAGGTCATACACCTCCAGATACTCCATTTCGACACCCGAGGGCACGCTGGACTCAACTGACCGATCCGCGGGAAGGGAGTGGCTATCCCTAAAGCGCTTTTCTGCTCCGGCCACACGGAGCGTCATCAGAGGGAGTGTCTTCCATGGTCTTTGGAAGGAGAGGCGAGATGGGGAGAGGAGAGAGGGGGGGAGTAGAGAGGAGGGGATGAGGGATCAAGGGAGGCTGACGACTGGGGGACTGTGGGTGCAGGAGAACATGGGGGGACAGGTGGGGGGCTGGAAATGGGCGCAGGGATCGGCAGTGCCAGGATGAACAAAAGCAACGCTAATAATGCCAAAAAAGCTGAGAAGGCGAGAAAGCTACAGGTCGCCCACTCCATCGCCCCCCACTTGTCATCCTCCTTCATACTCCTAGTGCTACTTCTATCGCTGCTACTGCTATCCCAGTTCCGGCGGCAATGCAGCAAAGCGCGAGCGAAACCGTAAGTGCAGCGAAGAGGATTGCGAATGTCGTGATCCCGCATGAAACCCTGGCCGGCTGCAGCCAGATCGATTCTTCCTTGCTAAGCCACACTGCTGCTGCCGCTATGACAATATTCGGGATAAGCGCTAGCAGAAAGACTGCAACTAGATAGAAGCAAATGAGCAGCGAAAGCGGTGCTTGCGTGGATGCTGCGGCTATGCAAGTATTCATTGCTAGGTAACTCACCACGCTACGCGTCCCGTGCGATTCCGAGCTCCGATCCGGTAAGAGGTGAAGGAAAAAATTATACCACTTCCTCGTTGTCCCCTTGCTCCTTCAGTTGGTCGAGGTCGATTTCGACATCCATCGCGTCGAAACACTGAGCTGCTCCGGCTTGCTCCTTCCGCACGTAGCTTATCGCAAACTCGCGCACTACACTGCACTGCACTCACTGGTATGTCCACTTACTCTACTGATTCTTTACCCCTACCGTTCCTTTCTTTTATTTGTGCGAGGTTCTCTCCCCATCTCGTTATTTCCAAAGGTGGAAAATTCAAAGTTTGCTTCGCGCGCTTTCTGGGTTATGACCCACTTGGCGCGGCTTCTTTCTGGAAGCAACTAGAGGACTTCGATTTGGCGTATTTATTTCGACAATCTCAGATGTTCGTATTATTAACAGTTGTTCGGTTTTATTCGTTCATCGAAGATCTATTTGTATACTTCGTGCGTCCCTTTTGCTTTATTTTCGGTGCGCGTTGCTTTAAAGGGTTTGATTCCCTCTTGGCTGCTTGCCGTTTTGTCGTTATTAGGTTTTCCCGGCTTTCGCCCGAAGTTCTTCCGAAAGCAGGAAGCGTAATCAAGGGAAGAAAAAGGAGGGGACAAAAAAAGGGGGAGAAAAGAAAAAAGAAAAAAGAAAAAAAAGAGAAAGGAAAAAAGAAGGAATGAAAGAAACAACGAAAGAAAAAAAAAAAAAAAAAAAAAAAAAAAAAAAAAAAAAAAAA